AGCGTGTGGTTAATGAAGAGTGAAGGCAGCGTATTCAAGGGTAACTTTGTGTTCTGTTTCTGAATATATATTTTTCTTTTAATCAGCTCCTGCTAGAAGTTCAACTCTGCCGTTGATTTTTGTTGTGCTGCGTTAAGCATTAGGAAAAGCACCGTTTCCCTTTGCTGTGATTATAATCAGTGGCCATAATGGCCCAGAGACCAACATGGGCCTGATGTTAATTTGGTGCTTGAAAGACCAGCACAGCCACAAACTTCCTGAGAAATTCATTTAGCCTTTTATCCAGCAACTCCCAATCTGTACAGCAGCAATTAACAGAACTGCCTTCCCTCAGAGGACTTTTTGCAATGATAAATAGATCAGAGTTAGAGGTGTTAGGACACAAAAACCAAGATAAATACACCCTGAGAGACCCAGAGAAGTGCTGCATGGGAATGTTTGGCATCAAGTAACCTTGAATACGTCCTCATCAGTCATGCAAAAAGCTGTATGAAGCAGAGGCCTTGACACTGAGGATGTTTCCCAGTGTTTACAAGTCTGAGCCTTTGCTACAATATTGGTATCTGCATATCTGCAGTGTAATCTGATAAGCAGGGGGGAAATTGGCTGTGATTTACATATCTCTTGTTTTCCTTAAGATGCAAAACCAAGTTCAGAATCCAGAACTGTCACATCTCTGACAGAAACAGCCCAGGTCCTCCCCTGCAGCCAAGGTTCACGCAGAGTACAGCCTCCCTTTGCAAACTGGTAGGTAGTTGCATCTAAGTGGGTAGTTGTTGTCATCGTAGGGAGGTTAAAATAATAAACTATAAAAAAAAAAAAAAAATCCCTAGTCACAGCCTGTCTAACAGTTTGAATTGTCACAAGAGGTGACGATTCTGAGGGTCTCCATAAGCCCAGAGGCAAGTTCAGAGAAAGCACAAGTGGGCAAACGCAGCCACTTCTGGAGGAGGCGGATGCCCAGGAGGTACCAGGGGCTGCAGGGAGGTGCTTGGGTGGCAGTTGCCATCTCAGATGAGCCAACTCAACTTCCTTGAACTGTAAGGAACCTTAGGAGGAAGTGGGGCCAGTTGCAAACAACAACAGATTCTAATTTACCCTCTTAAGCAGTGCAGAATTCTCTCTCTGGCTTGTTCCCCCATCGCATGGTCTGCTGCAGCCAGTGCCCTGGCTCAGTGTGGGGAAAGCTGTGATCCCTGTGTTTGTATCGATGGAAAACTCCTGGAGAAGGAGCAGGGCTGTTGCTGCAGGAAGAGTTTGCCATATCCAGGCAGTGCCTCACTGTGCAATGCAAAGCAAGCTGCTCAAAGCTGACACTGCTGGAAGGCATTAAATGCCTCGCCACGACAGTGGGATAGGCCCCTGTGTTTGGTTGGTGTGGCTGGGAATGCAGAGCAGTGACTGAGTGTGTCCTAGAGACAAATCTCAAACCTCTGAGGTGGCAGTCGTGCTTGCTGAAGCAGTCAAACAATATTTGCAGAAGAGTGAGTCCCATCGTGGGCAAGGAACCTGTCAGATGTGGCTGTAGTTAATGAAAGCCCTTTTTGCCCCCCCACCCCACAAACAATGCCCAGGAGCAGAGTCTTTATGCACAATTTATATATATTTTTTTTTAAGAGTCTTGCAAACCTATAGTCATAGAAATTTGAGATAGCAGGAAAGCAAAACAGATGCCCTAATTTCATGATGCAGTTTGCTTGAACTTGCTCTGAACTGTGTAAATCCAGGACACCTGACATCATATTCATTTACAGTATGTTTATTTCTCAGTGCATTACATGAAAGGTCTTTGGTATTTGTGGGTTCTTGAATACTGTTCCCACTCTGCTCTGTAAGAAAATGCTGAATACAAAACATTCCATATACAGTAACAAACCCCATAGCAAATAAAGAGAAATAGATATTTGGAACAATAACATAGCAATATGAAAACAGGTAAGTAACCATGCAAGAGGTGGAACAAACAGGTTGTGTTCACAACAAACATTAGAGCCTGCCATAAATGAGTTCATCGTCTCAGATGAGATTTATTCTTGCTCTAAATTAAGAAATTACACATGATTGCAAGATACTGCGTATGGCTGCTCTATAAAAGACCAAATGGTTGTAAAGGTCATTACAATGAGAGAAGCCGGGACCATTTGCACACATACGAGACACACTGATATAAATTAAAAAATACTGTGTAAAATAACTAGTGAAAAAGTTAACATTTCCTTCTATGGATGGGAATGTGCTTGTGGACAATTAATAGCACCTTTGAATGGGTTGGTTTCAGCGCAATCACAGAAACCCTTATACCACCAAACACCAGAATGGAATGTAATCTCAAATAAGACAGAGGCTGTAAACATGGAGAATGGATTTCAAAGTAATTCCAGAAGCTGATTGTCTTTTAGAAGCCTTTGTCACAGTGGTCAGGTTCCTACATTAAAATAGTTCATTGCAGAGATTGGGACTGAACCCCAATCCCAGAGCCAAACTCTCAGAAAGCCGCGTGTGAGCCATATGCTGTGCTCCACTGAAAGCCACACCAGTCCATGGCAGCTGAAGGTCTGGGTCTGATTTTATGGCCTGTTCCTGTGAAAGTTGATGGCAAAATTACTGTGGAGTTTGGTGGGAGCAGGTGAGTTTATTCCTATTTCCCTGGGTTGCTATCAATTCTTTACAGTAAGTGCAAATTAGATACTCTGGAGAGGAGCCTCCTCCACCTCCCACGAGTACCAGATTGCTGGTGAACATCACGGTGCACAAAGAGCAAAGATTTTTGGTTGTGCAATATGCTGCTGCTGCTTCTGGTTAGCTCAAGGCAAGGACAATGCATTACTACTACCAGAACTGATCCAAGTCAAAAACACATCTGTGCTCAAAAAAAATAAAGAATTTCAAAAAAATCTTAGGAAAAAAAAAAAAAAAGGAAAAGAACACACTATGGTATTGCACAGTATGCAGGTAAGATAAAGCACTAAACATTTCAATTAAAATACATTTCTAAATGAGCACGCATTCAAAATAAATCTGCTAAGTTACATAGACATGGCATGATGGCTAAAATGAAGCTCAGTATCCTGCTTAAGATGGAAGATGTGGTTGGAGTGGTTCACTTAGTCATGAATAGCATCAATGTTCACATGTGAGGCTGTGTTCACCTTTAAACCATCATTAAACCAGGACTGCTCAACAGTGTGGTCCAACCCTTCTGTACCTAGAGAGGAATGAAACCCCAGCTGAAAGCAAAAGTCCCTTTGGTATAATCCTACTGCCACCCAAATTAAAGATACAGTACCGCAGAAGAGAGGGGTGTAGCTAAAGCAAGAAGTGTGGGGAGAAAAAATATACATAGCTCATACAGAAATCTGTAAAAAATCAGTAACTAAACTGGTTGCAACCCAAACCTAACCTGTCTGTTGACAATTGACTTGGCAGGATTCATTACAAACAACTGCCATTAAATTTCCTTTCATCTTGCCAGTAATTTGTTTTAAATAATTTCAAATCCAAATTGAAATCACTGTGAATGGCTTGAAGAGAGCACTCATCAAGCTCATGCAATAGCTCTGAATTCAGAAAGACAAACTTGGAGGAAGAAAAATTTCTCTTTCAATTTGGTGTGAAGGCGTCAAAATGTCAGGGAAGTGAAAACGGCCTCAGTGTACGCCCTCTTCCCCAAATTCCACCCTGTAGCTACAGGACCAGTGAAACCAAATTTTGCCATTTCCCTTTTTAAAGATTGCTTTGGTTTAGTTTGGTTCCCGAAACCGCCATGAGGCAAGTTTCCTCATGTGGCAGCTAACTACAGCGAGCACCAACCTGCCCAGTGGATGCGTTTAGACTGAACTGGGATTTCTCCTCAGGCTTCAGGGCCTGATTTTCCAACACCTGCTGGTAGGCATGAGGGGTTATCTCCTGGAAGCCACCAGCTGTGTCTTGTAATGTCCATGTGATCAAGACCCAGACAGTCTCTATTCAACAAAGAGCTCATCAAGTACTTCTCAAACCCTACACGGTCATCAGCCTGTACATATGGAATCACATTTGCTACTACACCGTCTCCAGATTCAAATGGCAAGGGTTTACTCACAAGATAAAAAGGAAACAGTGTGAAAACATTTTTCCTCATTGATGTAGGATTAAGAAACTATTGCAAAATATCCTTCTCTGTGAATAGTTATTGCTACTAGTGAAATTAATTGTCTCTGGATGTAGGCACTAGCTGAAAATGGAAAAATTCTTGCACAATTCCATCATCTCATACAAACTGCTCCTTATTTTCACAGAAACAGTCTAATCTCACTGAAGACAGATAGAAAGTCACTGTTACCATGAACATTTGCGCCAAAAGTCCTTGCTCAGCCAACCACAAATAGAAATAAAGCCACTTGCATGCAATTAGCAACATGAAAAGTCAAGATTTTGATGCTAAAATCCCAAGAGTAACCTGAATTTTCAGAGTAACAGTTTTAAATGTTCTTTGAATTTTCCAGTTTGTTCTCTGCTTAAAGGAAATCCTTACAGGTCATGCTTTAATGGCCCATGGAAGTGGCATGTTCACCTGGAAGTCAGCATGACTGCCCTACATGAAATAAAAGCAGATGCCACCAACAGACAAGGCTAAGGCTTGGCTTTAGGACTGATTGTCTCAGCCAGTTAAGCAGTGCTCTAACTGAGTAAATTTCAAGGGCAGTGAGGAAACAAGGGGAGGATTAAACTCTTGGGACACAGTCAGGAGGTGTCATTTCTGTAGACAGCTTCTGAGGATACCTGCCCTCTGGTATTCCAAAGGCTTTAAAACAACAAAAAAAATCAAGAAAAGCGCTCATAAGACCCTCTCTGAGCTATGGATAAGACATTCCCTGCAATAAGGGCGCAGTATTGGCCAGGTAAGGAAACCCAGCTGCCAACACTGCAGCCTCCTACCCACTTCATTTGCACTCTGCAATTAAGCACTGGGATACTGTATCTTTAACTGGTGAACAGGCACAGAGAACACACAGATGCTCCTACTTCATCCGATTGCTTCTCCTTTTGGCTTCACTGTCATCCAGCAGTGAAGAGAGGATCTGGTAGGCCTGCGGCTGCTGGGGTCCTCCACGTTTGATCTTGATGCTGGTTCGCAGAGGGGAGCCCGGGATCACATCTTGTCCAGAGCCTGGCTCAATGGAAGATAAAGAGTCTGTAAGGAGAGAAAGTCACGGGAGAGCGCTATTTAAAAGGGGAGGCTAAGGAAAGAGGACATGGGCCCTTCTAGGTGATACCTCTTCTAGAAGAAATGTCGTCCCTGCATCCAGCAAGCAGTTGTGGAGCTACGTGTTTGCTGCCATCACACTACTCCTATGTTAGGTCTTTTCCCTCTGCTCTGTCTAAACTCTGACTGCACATGGCCCAGCAGGTCCTGTTCTCATTTATAATTCCATTTATAAAGTGCTGTTCTTTTCTTGATTAGAATTTTGCTTGGGCTACAGCTGCTCCTCAGCATTGCCCATGGCCCCCTGTTACTGAAGGATGAGGCCCAATGATCACTAGAAAGTGATGCTCCTGGGGGGTTTCAGTACTACTTCATTCCTTGTAAAAGAGGACATTTCGAGGCACTGAAAGGATTGATCCCCTGTAGGCTACAGTCAAATTAGCATTAAAGCTGGAATAGTATGAGCTGTCCCTTCTCTTCGCTTGCCTGATGGTAACACACACCTCCTCTTCCTACAGCCTCCTGCCCTGTGAAGCTAAATACACATTTGACTACGGCCACGCTTCTGTCTTCCCACCAGTCACCAAGAGATGCTGATAACTCGCTGCTGCCTCATCATTTTTAATGCCCCATTTCTCCTTCCTTTTGCCTTCAGAGATGGACATTTGCTTGTTTGCCGGCCAAGAGCCCAACCTCACAATCCAGACACCCAGCCTTGGTTTGATCCCACGAGGCAGCAGCTCTGTTTCAAGTGAGGGTTTGGCTGCTGGAGGATTTGCGCTGTGTTTGCTGGACGGAAACGCTGCCAAACAATTTGGGCTTTCGTGTGTCCTGCTGGGCTGCTCCCTGCAGTTTGCTGGGCCAGATCATTTCAAACTGCCCTCCCACTGCAGAGAAGAGGTTTGTTTGCTGGTATGTTTTGCCTTGTTGCTTGGGTGGCTGTGGTTTTGGAAACCATACTGATTGTGACGTTTCTTTGGAAAATGAGAGCATGCGAGTGGCATTTCTGCGTGGGTCCTGGAAGCGGGGCTGAGCTGGACGGCCCAGGAACCTGGGGTAAAGCCCTTAACACCTACGGTGGGAACGTGACCAGAGAGGTGGTGCTGGGTGATTTAAACCTGTGTGGTGCACTACTAAAAGTAGTGCAGGGAGGTCTGGGCTCAAGGAAACTCTGTTTTGTTATTATGTGTCTTTTCTGTTGTTGGGGTTTTTTTTGTTTGTTTTTTTTATTTTTTTAAACCATATACACATCCAGGGATGAATATAATTGCACAAGGAAAAAATGCCTTACTTTCTATGTTCACTTTCTAAGCAGTATTTTTGTAGGGCTTAAAATATGTCTTAAGTTAAAGACTGGAACTATCTCAAAAGCACAGAATAAAAATATAATTATCTATACTGTTACTGGATTAAAAAAAAAACAACCCTATTTACATACAGTCAGGCAAAATAGGTGTTCAAGCACGGCCTTAACTACACTGTGCAATTAAAACCCATCTGTTTTTGCTGGTGCAGTTCCACTGGTACAGAGGTCTGCATGGGTATAACTAACTCATCTCCATCCTGAGCAGTAACAGAAAATACATTTATATCAGTAAAAATGGTTTGCAGAAAGGACTGTTTCAAAATCACAGCACTGCATCTGCTATGGCCACTGTATTGCCAGACAACATAGAAAACAAACTAGGCAGCTCTGCAGGAGCGAAGTGGTGTGAATCCCCCAGTCCAAGCCCCAGGGAAATTTGTTTTCCACCAGTATAAGTGAACGTACAAAGTAACAGATGATGGAGGGCCAGGCCCTGGGTCCTGTAAATTCACTGCACTGTGCTTACCCACTGGGTTTCCCTTCCCCTCTTACCCAGAGAACATGCAGGCTAGGCATGGATTGCTGCCTAGCTCCTCTGGTGGGAACCTTCCTGGTACCTCCACCATCTCAAAGCAAAGAAGCATGAAACCATCTCTCCCTGCCCTTGGTGTATAAAATCCAATGAAGATATGAAGCAAACCAGGATTAATGCAGAGGTAAGGTCAGGGTGACTGTGGCTAAATCATGGGTTTGTGATTCATCATTTCCCAAAAAGCTTAAGCTGATGCTGCCTGTTGCTTCTGGAAATGATGCTTTGGGGCTCTGAAAGACATGTGGCTGTTGAACAACGAAGAGCAGCGCAGACACCCCAGCCAGTTCAGCCACATAACACAGCACCATGCACCGACACCAGTCTGGCTGTGAAGTGCCCAACAGCATTTTCATTTCAGCACTGTGCTGGCTTCAGAAGGTGCTCATGGGATCTCAAAGAGTGCTGGCTTACTGCACGGTAATAGATGCACTTTAAGTCACTTGCTTAGGAACTGCTGGACATTTTAGCTAGTTAGCATTTTCACACACTAAATCAATATCAATTTGGTTAAAAACTGCTCATCTTGGTGCCAAGGAACAGGCTTGCTTCTCACAGGCTGGGGTAGTAGATCTAAACAACATTTTTGCCTCTGTTGTGTTTCTGAAAGGGGAGAAATTGGCACAGCAACTTTTGGCAGCTGTGAGAGAACTGATCCTTAAGTACCCCAAAGGGAGAAGGCTGGTCTGTGATGATTGCACAACCCCATACTCGGGTTAAGGGAAGAAAACACTCATTAAGGGATGGTGCCACACACTGTACCAGCGATGGCAGGCAGCCTCAGCAGAAAACTTAAAAGTCTATCTATCTGAACAAAGAACACATGATACTTAATTTAAATCTGATTGTGAAAATAGGTTTTATGTAAGTTCTAATCACAAGAGGTTCAGGGATCACTGGTTTTCAGGGTCATGTGTAGCACTTTTTGGGCTTTCTCTGTAAATTTTAGCGCTACAGAAGGCAAGGGCCTCAGTGCTGCTAAAGTCACTTGGAAGACACTATTAACAGGATTAAATGATCTGGCCTAAAGGCTGGAACAAGCAGCTCCCTGGGAGGCTGGCAGATGATCTGTGCCACGTGGCTTGAGCTGCTGCTCGTGACTTGGCTTTCTGAATTGTAATAAAAATTATTGTGGGGGTCATTTCACCTGCTACTAAAGCCAGAGTAATTAGTGCAGTTGGTGGAAGCTCTAGGTCCTCAACAGTTCTAAGCAGCCTTTAAGTCATGTTGGGTACCTAGTTTTGAAAACCCAGCTTAAATAGATACTAGACAGAGAGTTCAGGAGGCTGGCAGGATGTTTAACCATCAAGCAGCTGCCTGAACAGAGCCCCCACTTGTCTAGAAAAGAAAAATCTTAGCAATGCTTACCATGAATTCCTATCATGTGCTCAAGAATTAATACCCTCTCAGCTAAAATCTTCAGAGCTTCTCGAAGCTGTTGAACACCTTCCCCCTACAAGAAGGAGAAGAAAACTAGCGTTGGTACATGTTGCAGAATAGGCTTCTTGTTCATAATGTTGTCTTCGTAACGCCAAACCATGCAGTATGAGTGTTTAGAAAAGAAAAGATGTACAAGAGGAGATAAGCTGTGAGGGTTCAGTAGGAATGCAGCAGAAATGCCTATTTAAAGCAAACCCCCTCAGTTATACCCCACGTTTGCAGAGCCTCTGATCCAAAGCCAAGCCTTTCAGTTTGGTTCCTGCTTCTGCAGTGGACCAAACCCACATGTATACTTCTGTCAAACCTTTATAATGTGCAGCATATGTTGACAACTATGCTGACCTACCTGGAGAACAGGTTTTGCTCTCACCTGACATTTACTCTGAACATCAGTGAGTTACCTGGGCTTTCTCTCTGTTGGTGGTACACCAGGGAACTGGGATGTATGGCTACCACCATCTTGTTTCTCCCTTATAAACTGGAACAGTGGCATTGCAAGCCCATCCTGATGGGCTTCACGCTGCCTCTCCCAGAACTTCTAGCTGGGACACATGCTGCCTAAACTCTGTCCATGTACTTTCACATACACTCAAGCTGTAGTTTGTTGCCCCCATTGCCTTAGATATGGGCTTGAAGGGACAGGTAGATGTTGAGAAGTATTTTAGGATGGGAAAGCACAGATGTGAGAACTCCAACCCTCTCTCTGCACATGCAGTTTGATCTCTTCTGGGAGTCTGTCCATGAGCTTGTGGGAAGGACAGTGGGAGAGTAAAATTCCATACCTGTAGCAGCTTTGTGTGGCAGAAGAACCACTGGGGACTAAGGAAGTGTTCAGAGAGCATGGTGAGAAGGGCAGCTGACAACATGGCCAAGGAAAACCTCAAAGACCAGGATTTCTAGCACATATTAAGATCAAACCCAAAGCTCAAATAATCTCTTGCTCTGCACTTTTAACTGTGGACAGGACCCTTGTCCTCCACACAGTAGCCTGCCAAAGGGAATATGGTTGAAGCACAGTAAAGAGACAAAAAAGAAAGTAAAATGACAGCAGAAATACATGCTTACATCAGCACCTTTGTCACCTTCCTCACCCTTCTTGCCTGGTTCACCCTAAAACATACAAGAAACAGAAATTTGTTTTCATGTGAGTGAGGACTCCAGGACCACCTGCATCCCCTTCGATCCAAAGGAACAAACTAAAGGCAGAAAAACAACCTGATGCTCTGGCATGTCACACCAAGGGCCAAAGTGCTCTCGTGAGCTCTGTCCTGGCTCCCACCAGGTTCCCAGGAGGTCATCACCATTTCTAACACTGAGGAACTTGGCCAGGAGTGGCCAAGCTGCAGGAGGAGCTGGCTGCCATGGTCTGGGCACACAACAAGGTTATATACATCTCACGAAGCTCTCAATGAGCAGTGCTTTTATCTCACACTAAAGAAAAAAAATACTGTCCCCCTCTCCCAAACATGCACATGTTCATCTTTGATTTAGAACATAAAATCCCTCATTCTGCTTTCATTAATTAGTCACATCACTTTCCACCTCTGAAGATGTTCATTAAGCTTTTCTTGAACAAAGATCCCTGTGTGCTGTGAGCATCAGTCTGATGTTTCTCCCCCTAACCAGGAAGTTCATGTATTTCTCAAAGAACAGATGACGTGGAGAGATTAAACCACAAGCTAAACATAAAACAAGGGAAAGGGCTATCATACTGGTGAGTAAAATAGAGTGGAAATCCCTGGGCTCCTCAAACTTGTTGGACATCCCTGAGATATTTGCAAAGCAGGGGTGGGTATGGGAAGAGGACTGAAGAAAAGGTTTTGTGAATCATACAAAATGATGAGGTAGAATTAAGGAAGAGAGAAGAGAAACCTCCCAGAGGACCTAGGACCTCTCTGATTGCTATTGGCCAAAAAAACCCAACTTGCTCCACTTTCAGCCAACCTTCACCTCCACCAGTTTGTTTGCACCCTAGCCATATGTACCAGTACAGGCATCTCCTGTGTGCAGCTGATCAGGTATTGCCAAGAAATCCTTTGGAGACATCTCTTAATCTCATTCAAGGGTTTCCAGCTCAGCTTGGCAGACCAAGGGCCAAGAGGGAGTTGAGAGCAGCTGATGTACTTTGGGTAGTTTAACAGTGCCCACCTTTGGGCTCTGGTAGTGCCAGGAACCTCACGGGGCAGGGAGAGGGCTTCTGTCTGCCAAGGTTTGCCTAGAGGGGATCTGCAAGCAAAGCACATCTCCTCTGTTGGTGCGACACCTTCTTGATCACGGCATTTCAGCACGATGCTTAACATGCAGGAAGAGCATGTTTCACTGGCAGAGGCGAATGTTAAGGTAAGGTTGCCTACTGAACAAATGTCTAAGCTGGAGACAGTTCACCTAAGCATTGTGCCTGGGAGAGCTGGCTGAACCAGCTGCAGTCCAGCTAGGTGGTATTTATGGTGCCAAGCTGGCACCAAACCCATCTGTGTCCTGCACACCCCCGCAAGTCCATCACTTACAGGAAATCCCTTAACGCCCCTCTCTCCAGGCAGACCTGCTTGCCCCTGTTGGAAATAAAGTGAGTGTCAGTAGGAGATATTTTTCTATTTGACAAGAACATAGTGTATTTTTTACTCGTGGAATTAAGATGGTTTAATGAAAAACCTTACCCTTGGGATAATATTAAAAAAATAAAAAATTCCTTTCCCTTGACATTATCACTTAGAGACAGCAAAAGGGGGTCATGGTTTTCTGTCAAGTATCAGCTCCAAATCCCATCACACTTTGGAGAAGTTTGGTTCGATACAGAGCTACTGAGCTCAGTTCCCTCTCAGTTAAGACGATTACCAATTTTTTTTTAACTTTACAGCAGTCAGTTACGTTATACCAGGAAGGAATTTGGCTGGAGATTTGTTTCCTACAAAGATACTGTATTCTTCTCTCTAGTAAAACTGATGGGCTGATGCTGCCTCAGACAGCGAACAGAGCCCAGGACTCCCACAGAGCACTGATTTAATCTGCCTCCTGCTCCACACACACATCCCTGGATTAACCCCAACAGCTACTGATCAAAACACACATACAATATTTTGGTTGGTTTGGGTTTTTTTCCTGCTGTGCTAATTTTCACATTGTTCTCACTGGGGTTTTTTGGGTTGGGTTTGTTTTTTTGTTGTTGTTGTTTTAAAGAGAAACATTTTGAAATGGTATGTGTTGGTTTGGGGTGGAATGAAATGCCATGGAGCATCTTTTTTTCCCCTCTGTTTTTCTCTGCCGTGTTGGTTTCCCACCCCTAGAGCACGCTGGGGCAGGGCAGAATTCCTGACCAGAAGAACAGTTATAGATGATTTCATGAGAAAGCAGGAGCTGGGGAAGAAGCAGCAAAATTTAAGAGCATCTTTAGAAATCCATTGATGAAACAGCTACATATTTAACCTGGCTCTTCTCCCCTAGACATACATAGAAATAAACCCATCCTTTTTTCCCAAAAAAAACCTGTTGATCTGGTAGCAGCTTTTTGTGGTATTTGCCAGGAAGGGAGAGCTGCTTTGTTATTGTGTCCATCAAACTGCTGCTTTGTATTAAAAACCAGTGGGCCTTGGGCACGTCACAACATTACCAGGGAGAGCTGCGCAGAGCTCGGCGAGCAGCTAGCCAGCTCTAGACAAAGGCCCAGCGACAGGAAGAGCGCTGGGAGATTTGTCAGGTACCCTGAGCATCTTCAAAGGGAAATACTTGGATTCTGCACTGGAGTAAGGCCTGGGAAACAGCACAGACAAGAGGCAAATCACAGAGAGGAGCCAGAACAATGCACTCAAAATACAGAAACAGACTGTTCTCTGTGTCCAGGAGGAACAGAGAGGGTGTTATCAGCTGAAAGGGGATCAAATGATAGTTAGGCTGGATGTTAGAAATATCTTTTATCACAGTCCCTCACTAGCTGTACCTCTGCAGACTGCCTGGAGAGGACGTGCTGTATCCCTCACTGGCACTGTTTAAGATGAACAGAGGCTGATGGTGAGCGGCACACAGAGATGTGCCATCCAGGGGATGCGCTCAGACTGCTTCAGGTCTCTTCTCTGTTCTCTCTGAGATTAAGCAGGAAGAATGTATAATAACATTTTCTCAAATCTCAGTAGATATTGTAAACCCTCCTCTGCTTTTCTTTGCAGCTGCACAGCTCCTCCGCTCTGTGTAAATCTAGCCCTAATTTGTATCCACCAAACCCAAAATTGAAGCATGTAGTTGTCAAAACCAGCACTCAAATCTACTCACAAAAGACAAAAAGCACCCAGAACATCCTACAGAAATTCTGCCAGAAAAAGCAATCAGCTTTGCTTTCCAGGCTAGCAGAGGAAGGACAGGAAATACAATTTATTTTTTCTATTTATCAAGACATTTTGATACTTGAAAATCTAAATTGTCCCAAACCTAGAAGGAGAGTTGCAATTCTGAATATCTACCAAGGAGGGAACACAATCCAGGTCTAAAGGATTTGTCTGTACTGAATGGACAGAGTGCAGCAAAGCCTTTGTTTCAAAATAAGTGTAGTCGTCGCAATATAGTCAACCACAAAGTAAAGCAAAATGTTAAATGAATCACTGAGGAAGAGCTCTTATCAGTTTCCTGGATGGAAACTTGACACTTTGCCATATACCATGCCCTTCTATATTTTTTTTTTTTTAACTGAAAATTAACATTCAATGGCAATGAGCTGTAGTCAGTAACCTGGGTTGAAATCTCAGCAGTTAAGGTTTTGCTCTCTATCAAAATCTTAAATTCTAGTCCCAGAAATACATCAGTCTGTAATCTATCAGTAAAACCATTACACACCCAAAGTGGCTGATCTGCACAAGGAAACTGTTATTACAGAAATCACTTACAATGGTCTCTGGCTTTCAGGGAGCTGCAAGTGAACCAAGGGAACCAAGCACCCAAAACAATGTGCAAAGATACTAAAATAAACCGGAGCCTTTTAAAAGTGTATGTGCTCCACCCTCAGATATCCCCTGCTCCTCGGCGTGAAGTGCCTCAGGAGGGAATGAAACAAGGCCCCTGGACTTGCTCTCCTTGCACACAGCCTGGACAGAGGAACACAGTTTAAGTCTGTTGCTGCTTATGCTCATGAATTTGGGAAGTCATCAAATCGGAGTTAACCAATGTGCATTTGTTTTTCTTAGCTCTTTGAGACATCCCTCTGCCTTTTGGATTGGAAGAGCGAGCAGAAATGAAGAGGAGATGCTGTTACGTGGGGAAAGCATGTAATCTACAGCCACCCATCTACAGGTGGTGACCTCCACGTTCATCTCCATCTACGTAACAGCAGAAGTAGCACTTGGAAGAAAAGGCAACTTGTTTCCTACAGCTGTGGCACAAGGCTGAGCCAGTGCAGCCACCACTGCAGACATCCATCATTTTAGAGGTACCAGCCAGTATTTTTCTCCTTATCTTTCTTCCTTTTTTTGACTGTACTCCACACTAGGGCCTTAGTGATGGTCCACAGTCCATCTGTGCCCACTTCTACATTTCACAGATCTAATTGCTGAATGATCCTCCACCACATATTACATTCTCAAATGATTTACGCTCCTAGTGTCCCTCAGAGAAGATTTCAAAGACCATGGCCTTTTGGAGAGTAGTCTGAACAGAAGCAGCTGAAGGCTCTTGGTGCTTGAATGGTGGACTGGAAATCTGACACATTTATACCCTTGTTAGATTTTTCTGTTGTATTTCCTAAACTTCACCAGTTTCGAAATAACATTCAAACAGCCCTTCTATCTATGTTTACTTAATAGCACTGAGGTATAGCACATAAACATATTAACATCATTTCAATAGTCTAAATATATTAAGAACATCATTTGATGTAAGAACCTGGGGAATGGCTTTGGTTCAGGAAAAGTCTGATGAGCTTTTACTGCTGTATTGCCACAGAAGGAAGAGTTCAGTCAGACCACCCAAAATACTCCATGCTAAAGAGCTTTGGTTGGCAGAAGAAAGCTGGTCTCCACAAACCTTTCTATACCATGTATTTACTACCTGAATCTCTTTAGGGAACATCAGACTTTGCAAGTAATCCAACCCTTTATCTGTACAGTAAACCATCAGCTCGGTCCTGGCAGAAGACCTAGAAACTCTACATTTAAAACTGTTCATGGCTGTAGTCCCATGGAATTTGAAAGACCCGTGTTGTATATAATTTCTGAGGCATCACCCCAGATGTTCCTGGGAATCTCTCTGTGTATGTAAAACCTTACTCTCTCTCCTCGGTCTCCTTTGGAGCCTTTTGGCCCAGGTTGTCCTGGAGAGCCCGGTAAGCCCTAGAAGAGATGCAGAACAAGAAGGAATTAATTTCTACTGTACATCCTTTATGTAGGTGTAGTGAATACATTTCCCAGTGATCCTCAGATCCAGAAAACCCCATACTCCCATTAAGCAATTGGGCTGGATTCTCTTTTACCCTCAAGCAACAACAATGGGAGCTCTGTTTGCAGATTTCCTGAAACCTATAGTTTCTGCATATCCTTCTATTTGGGTCTTTTAATGCACCGCAGGCTACTGATGTAACATTTTTCAAGGGGTCAGTATGACAGGATAGTTCTTGTTCTCAGTTACCAAGAAGAAATTAATACACAGACAGTATGGTCAGCTTAAAAACCCCCACTGCTTTCCCCCTCTTGATAATTGCCTCAGTGGGTGGCACGAGTAAGCATACATACCTGAAAATTAATTGGATTGTGCACTGGAAATTATTTTGAAGCTATTCACTCACCCTAATAAACAATTTTCAAATTAAGCCCAATCTCTACTAATAATTTTGCTCCCTGGGTTGAATAAATCTATAAAGCAGTCGCCAATGGATAAGAAGGGCACAGTCTCCAGATTTCTGCTAATTGAACTGCTTTGCAGAAATCGATCCAAATTCTTAACTTATCAACCCAGCGAAGCCACAGCCATAAACCAGAGAGGGAGAGAACAATACTGTTTGTTTATATTCAGCACGTCAGTTCCCCAGCTCCCCATGACCACATGGAAGGTGCTTTTTTCCACCTCAAGTGACTTGCACATGGCCTTGGAGACCACAGCAAATGAGACCACTGCTCCACCTCAGACCACTGCTGATTTAAGCCAACCTGCTTAACAGCAGCCCCCAGAAACCCCCACCTCTCAGTGTCCAGAGAAATGGGCTTTCAAGGCACAGCTGTGAGGAGCCTCAACGTCTGGCCCAACAAGACTGGACACAAGTGTTTTAAGGGTCTAAAGGAGGAGAACTCTCCTAGTTCCAGCTGGAAGGCAGCAATGTTCACCACTGACACGCTGCTCCTTGCCTGCAGCCAGCCCTACCAGCTCACCACCTCACTGCAGGGTGACCTGGCCTCCAGCTCAGCTACATCTCCCCAGGGCCCACAAAAGATTCAGATTTAGGAGGTTAATGAGGGCTGCAAAACGAGGTAGGGCACCAACCAGACTTGGCCCTGTGTCAAACATGCAGCATGAACAAAGCTTAAGTGTCCATAAGCATCCTTTGCTCTTGACAGCTCTCAAAAGCGACTTTCAGTGTGTGATTACACAGGGATGCTCAAGAACACTGAATTTCACAAATCTGTTGTTAAAAAAAAATAATAATGTGTACTGCATGTGAAAAAGCCAGACTCTGCCACAGAACCTATTTATGAATTGTGAATTACCGTATATTTAATCACGTTAAACTGTATCTGTCATTTTGCTGCCAAATTTCCCACTGTGTTCACATCTATCTGGAGTTTCTCATTGTTCTCCAGAGCATTCACTAATTGAAATGATTCTGCTACACTGGCAAACTTTTGCTAACCTGCTGTCCATTGCTTCTGCAAACTGACTAATAAATACACAGTAAAAATCTCCTTTCTTTAATTTCTAGCAATTCCAAACCTGTTCTTATCAGGATCTAAGTTACATTCTTCTGCTAAGTTACTTAACCTTTCTCCCTCTCTGTGCTTTTCAGTCCCTTTTATCTCTTTAGTCACGTTAGATTCCTTTGAAATATTTGATGTTACTGGTTTACCTCCACATGAAGTAACACTCTTCCCAAAACTGGAGTCCCTTTGTGTCAACCAACCACAATTTTGAGTAGTTTGGCAGTTCACTACTCATCATGACTTCACTTCTTTCCATTTAACCAGCTTTTTCTATCCATGTCAGTACTTTGCCCTTCTCCGATCATAAATTCTTTTGAGTGAGTTTATCACACTCCATTATTACGTCCCCCCTCCACAATTTTTGTCTCGATAAATAATCAAACTGATGGGAATTTGTGATATCTTTCTTGAATAGAAAGTGCTATTTCTCAAAAGCTAGGCTTAATGGATTCACTTGGGTGAACTGGTGAATTCCCACTGATGCATTTTTGTTCTTTTTATGTGTTCCACAAGAAATACAGTATTTTTCTATCACTGTGTTAGCAAAACCCATGTCAAATCCTTTGCATCAACTCAGGCCACAGTGAAATGTTTTGACACAGCAACAGCAAGATGTGTTGTTATGATTAAGGGAAAATCTAGAAAGTGCAACCATTTCAACCTCTCAACACAATTCAGAATTGAAAAAGGAATTAAAATCACAGAATTTCATGGGGAACAAAACATCAGATTAAGACTTAAGAACTACTTTCTCTCTTTGTGCAATGAGATGTTTTGCACTCAACTCCCAGCTCTGCCCCCCAAAGTGCCTTACTTGTGATCCAGGGACTCCGATAGGTCCTGGTGGCCCTTCGGGTCCTGATGCACCTGGTGGCCCTGGTGGGAATTATCAATTGAGACAATTTTGAGGAGAGTTAGAAGGAAGGACCCTAATTCCAAATGCATGCACTTCCTTTCATTGTTCTGCTTAGTCTCTCAATGGGTAAGAGCTGTTCATCAATCCCAGGACTACAGAATAAGCACTTGATCACGGATTATTGGATACCCACGTCCTGGTATATGTAACCCTCTGCCCTAGGGAAGATGTTAGAGCTCTGGGAGGAAAAAAAAAGGTGAAAATAGGCAGGAAGGATGTCAGTAACATGCTGCATTTCCACTGCTTAAAATGACAACTTTTGAGAAAACTTAAACTCTATCCATGAAACAGCTACATGAGAGTGAGATACTACAGCTGCCGTGTCTGAAACAGAGTCTCGTAGGCGGCAAGAGAAGTCCACAAGCCTGCCATGGTCTGTCTCCCTGGTGTTGGAAGAAAGTTGATGATAAACATGAAGGAGATGGGGTCTGGACACAGCCAGCATGAGAGGCTGACTACAGCAAAGCTCCCTCTTGTTCTTTGCTCGCTCCGGTGGCAGTAAATTCTTTTAAAGTCTGTACCACGGAAGAGCCTGATTCCAGGACGAGTTCCACACTGTCTAAACAGGTCAACTTGTTTTACACAGTCACTTAACAGATTAATTCCTTTCAGAGAAATAATTATATCTCAATGGTAGCTGTTAAATTATACCTGCAAATGGGAGACAGGAAATTTGCTTAGTCTGAACTTAGCAATACTCCTCTCTGCTTTTGCTGTCACAACCCTTGAGATGAAACAATGTGGACATTCTACACAAAGTACAGCTGAATCAGCCTCAATCATTAATGCACCATACAAATGCTTAAGTTAAAGAATAAAGGAATTAAAGGATAAATGAAAGGCCCTCAGAATGAAAGGAAAAGCCTTTTCTGTAACTAATGGGAGTTCACTCCTAAATATGCATCATACAGGGAAGCGCTGATGTTTGCAGGGATATTATCATTTAAGCCACCCATCAGCACAGAGAAAAAGAAGACTTGCCATTGAATTTTCATCTCAGATTCTGATTTCAGTTATACTGGTGCAAATCTGGAATAGCTCAAACCAGCTGCAAAGTCTGCACACACATCACAGAGCAGCTGGCCAGACCCTGCTCAGGGGAGCTCTACAGTGACAGGACAGGGTTGCAGCAGCGGTGAGAACAACTCTGCTCTCATAAAGGAATTCACAGGACAACCCATTCTTAAAGACAGTCTTTAATTATTCCCTTCTCAAGATGCCTCCTGCCAAAGGTAAATCAATCTGCCATTCTCAACAGATAAGAAACCTGGTTACTTCTTGCCACCCTTCCCACTCCTGGACCCACTGCTCCACTGCCGTCCCAGTGAGGGCCACTGGCTTTCCCTGCCTGCATCCCACAGACCACTCCACTCCCCATCAGAAATTTATTTTGCTCATCTTCCCCATCATTACAGCTTTGCAACTCAACTGACTTTATTACCTGGTGGCCCAACAGGGCCTGGGGCTCCCCGTGGTCCTGGCAGGCCAGCCATGATGGTGTCTATGACGGTGGAGGCCAGCTGGGGTTCTCCATCTGTATTAAAGAGCAGAGCAGTTAGTGTTGAGCTGCCCAGTCCCAGCAGACAGGACTTCTCTCCAAGAATCCTCTGGCTCCTGTTTCTGGCCAAGGGCAGGCAGTGCTTCAGGATGCAAAATTTGGGCTCTTGGAGCCACTGCCCTTTGCTCTCTAAGGGCACAGGCTGTGTCCCCTAGACCTTCAGAGCTGCTGTCTTACCTCTGATGATCAGTCCTATAGGACCAACTGCGTATTTCCTGTTGCATTTAACCTGGGTGAAGATGTTGGCTCCTGGTCACTGGGACAGTAAACCCTCTGAAAAGTCCACATTTTCCATAGCTAGAGGCCACCACACAGCAATAATGTTCATCTCCTCCTGCCCATGACCTCAAACTTACTCATGTTTCTTTTCCCCCATCCCTTTAACTCATCACACTAGAATTCAGGGGAAGCCTTTTGCAGGTGTGAAAGACTGCAAATGTCTCACTGCTATACTGGGGCAAATGTCAAGTGACACCAGGAAGATCTGAAGGGCGTTTGTTTACTCTGCAGTGTCCAGCCCTAAGGACATGAGGTGAAATCTCCAGAAATGTTAACAGATGCATTTTGAAACCTTTTCAACTTCTGGAGTGCTGGCAATGATAGAGAGGACTTTCAAGCTAGTTGTTTGAAAGCAGTTCCTAGGGAAAACTGTGAAATCTCTTTAACTGCCAAGGATGACAGTGTATCTCTGCAATGTCTTCCTGGCAGCAGAACAGCACAAGATCTAACCCAGATCCCTCTGAAAACCAAATTTTGTGCCTAAAGCTTGAATGCAAACAGGTATTTCTTTGACTATTGTTTCGAACCCCATCCCTCTTCCCTTCTTCACAGCCCTGAAACAAAACAACTGAGACTGTTTTCATGTTCAGAAGGAAAGGTACCCAAGTGAAGTGTGTAATCCAATTAATTTGAGTTTTATTTGACGATGTCAAATTCCATCATGGCTTGGGAATAAGATGAAATTGGGAAATGAGCATCGAACAGCAGTGAAGGCATTAACAATTGCAGAGCCTTTTGTTTTTAAAGAACAAGTGGCCAACAAAATCAAATGCACATCCATTGAGAGGGGGAAAGGATGAGCTGCAAACAGCCAGGATTTAATTACGGCTGGAGGTGAGCCAGGGATAAAGATTTGGGTTACAAAACATTCCAGCTAAATGGCACATTATTAGGATGACAGAGTTACTCCCACAAATCCACCCATCCTGACATTTGACTAAAAGTTATTTATGAGAGGTGATTCCATAATTGTGACACAGAAGAGAGCTCTGCTCAATGGCCCTTGAGCTCCGTAGCTCCTGATTTGGCCTCTGCAGCACAGGGTATGGACATGCAGGAAATCTAGAGTGGCTCCTTCCTCAGCTGCCTGGCCAGGCAAAACTCACTCAGGTCAAGGTTTCCTTCCAGGATGAGCTCTGAATAAAACACAGTGTGAATGAAATGGGATTGAAATGTGTCAAAACACAAGCCTCACATTTTTTAAGGGATTCTCTCCATATTCCTATAAAGCAGCAGAAAGAGCTCATACCTCCTTATAAATAGAGGGACATTGTGGGGCTCACCTCATTCTGGAGGCTGTTATAGCAGCCACAAAATAGCTCCAGAAACAAATGGTAGCAGGAATTTTCCTTCTCAGCCATCGCCCGTGCTGACCCAGGCTCTGCTGGGCTCAAGGGCTGGGTTTTGTTTCAGTGTTTCTGGATATAGCAAAGCAGAAGGCAGACAACTCTCTGCCTTGTTTGAGAAAACCTCGATAGACAATTCATTCCAGGAGCTTTCCAACTCCTAGCCAAGCCAAGAGGAAGAGCACAACCAGTCTGACCTGGGCAGATACGAGCACCTACGTTCTCTGGAAGAGCACAAACATCCTGCAGAGGGGAAACCTGAAACAGCAGAGAATGCCCTGAGCCAGGCAGTGAAACTTGCCCAGCCAGAGCAGCAAGGCACCTCAGAGGCACAGGCATGAGCAGCTTTGAAAGCAAGCGGTACGGTTTGCTAAATCCAATGCCATTCCCTTCCTCCTCTCCTTCCCCTTCGCTTCCTCTGCTCTGTTCTCCCTTCCTCAGGAAGGGCTACACATGGCAGCAGGCACTGGGATGGCACTTTGCAAATCTCTGTTCTACACAATTTTTCACCAGTGACATGCTGGGCACACAGACAAGCCTGCTGTGCCTCCGTTTCCTCTTGCTCTGCCTGCAAAACAGGTTAGTGTCCTTGGCAAACTGAAATCTTTGAGATGTAAGAAAACACAGCCCTCAACAGAGTGAAAGTTGCATTCTTTTCTCTTTTCCCTAAAAATTGTCTTAGCTTTAGCATGAGACAGAGGACTGAGCTGACTCTAGACCCTGCACCTCATCCACTCATTTTTAAGCGGTGGATAAAGCGAGTGATCCTTGTAGCAGCAGCCTCAGCAGTGGGGTTATGGCAGTTGAGCTTCTGGCCTACATCTAATGTTTCTGACTAAGGGATAAATTCCCCCATTATAGGCTTGATTTGTTGAGACAGGATGGAAATGAAGTAATCCTGTCTTAATTTCTTTCTGCTACCTGATCTGGAGGGAGACAACTGGGACCAATTTCTTCACCACAGCACAGTGAAACTGTGAGAAAATATTTGTCTCCCCATTTTTGGCTTCTGCCAGCTGATAAACATTGCCAACAGGAACTTCTTGTGATTAATAAAGGCACATGGATTAACCATGTTCAGGCGGAACCAAACATTCTACCACTACTAATAATGTGATACAGCTTTCTCACATCTCTGTGGGTGCTCATGCCCATTACCAGGAATATGCTTCCCTCTGCTGTCAGCAGCTGGAATCTGGTGTTTATCATTTTCAGATGTGCTTCATTCAAAAGAAATAAATATTTTTTTTAAAAAAATCTACCCAGAATTTACAAGGCTAAGTTTTATTGTTTGTAAGGGATCAGCTTTCTACCAACTCGTGGTAGGCAAAATCAGCCAAAACTTAAGCAAAATGGTAAGTTTTGTAAGAAAATGGTCTTGATATTGCCAAATCCACTCATTTATCCACTTCCCATTTTGGGACAATACAGAGTTCACCCTTCTCACACATCAGCTGGGAAGGCCACGTAATCAATGCCTTTATATACTTTTTAATTTATCTACTACTTTGCAAGAAAGATTTTCCTTTAAAAGGTGGTTGGAGGGAGGGGGAAGCAGCAGTACCCAAACCATCCTTAAGGATCTTTTGGAATAAAAGGCTGAATGCAGAATGGCACCATTCAGTGTGATCCTGTGAGGCAGGGAGGTGACTGTAACGAAAAAACTTCCTTGTTATAAGGCTTGTGAACGCAGCAGCCCAACCTACATTTTGTGAAAATCTTAGTATTGAACCACAATTAATTTCCTCTTGCCCATATGTTCTAAATAACAGAATATGGAATCAAGCTGCTAAAATTCTTTCCCAAATTAAAAATACATCTGTTCACTTTCAGGAAAAGGAGTGTGGAGAGTGAAGTGGATAGAAGGGAAAGGAGAGCTCTAGAAAACGGTCAGTCACAGGGAGACTTACTAATCCTTGGCTGTAAGTAATACAGCTGAGCTTTGAAGCTGGACGGGAGCAGAGGAGCTGGGGAAGAGGCACAGCTGAAGTCTGGGGGAGTGGAGATGGGAGACCTGACAGAGCCGGGGCTCCAAGAGTTGACAAGCCAAGTGGAGATACAGCTGAGCTCTGCTTTATCATTATTAGGTGCCAGCTACACAAGACTGGACCAGAAGAATCGAGCCCAAATCTGAGAGTACTCAGATAAAAATGCATGACGTGCCTTTCATAGAAAGCCTTTTCGTGCCACACACAGGTAGGCTTTGTGGCTCTCTCAACCCTAACCCTAATGGTGTGTGGGGTTGAGGATGTACCAAGGGCGGCCCAGAGAAGAAAGGTGAGGAAGGAACAAATATTGATGGAGTGCCGTGCTCCCCTTGGCCTGCCTTTTCCAATGACTACAATGAATACATTTTTAAATCACCACAGGCTCAAAGACACCCTGACCCTCCAGTTACAGCAAGGGGATAAATCATGGTCTTGGTCTGGGCTTTCAAGTCTGCAATTCTGTGTTTTACATGGATGTGGGATAATGTCGATGTACCAGAAACGCAGGTGCGGGGGCATGAAGAGAGATGCATTTAATGATGTCCTTGTTATGTCATATAATTTCAGAGTTGCAAATCTTTAGTACTTACTCATTTCTGAGCAACCCTGAGCGCTGTAACACTGCAACAGCGGCACCAAGAGGTCTCTCAACAGCAGAGTTTCATTGCACCAGCACCTAATCAGCCAGACTGTTTTATTTCTCCACCCTCTTGTCTCTCATGTGATACTACCTGATCTCTGTCATTTCACTAGAAACCCTCTTCCCAGCAGCTACTCATGATGGAAGCTTAAAGGACACCAAATTGCCTCCTCAAAGCTCTGAAGAACCCACAAAACCAGGCACAGGGAGCAACCATAAATCCCCCAAACCCTGTTCTCACTGATGGTTTTAGAAGAGCAGTGACTTAGTTCCTCATTTTGGAGGGGTGAACCTCTAGCTTCTAAGTCTTACATATTTCATCTTGAACAGGAACTTCCAGGAGACCCACACGATGGAGGCAGATTGTTTTGCTGCTCCCAGGGAAGGCAGGGCCTTGGCAGAGCCTGGCAGGGAGGTGGGAGGAAGAGCTGAGCTGCTCCGTGCCTGCTCACTCTGCTGATGGTAGCAAGGGAAAAAAAAAATATTAAAAATGAAAAGAGAAGGAAACTTACTTTCTTTTTCAGCTGTGGGCTGGAGTGAGTAGAGAACCCCTTGTTGGAAGGTAAGAGGAAGGCCTGGGGTGGCTGGTGGCCCTGGAGGACCTGGGGGACCTGGGATCCCAGTTTCTCCTGGAAGTCCTCTTGGTCCTTGAGGTCCTAACAGCCCTGTGAAGAGGCAGGAGAGGATGTGTTAGTGCATTTGAAGATGTGCTAATGATGCTACCATGTACAAAGGCAGTAAGAAGACAAAGGATTTCTGTCCTGAACTGTAATTGTGGGAACTGGAGGTAGGGGGAATAGCTTCCCAGTTTTCCATTATTTGCCTTTAGCATCTTCCTCTGGGAAGCAGACAGCCTTACTCGGCTTAAAGGTGCTATGAAGCTTAATTCCTAAAACAATAAAATCTTCCCCCTCCCTGAAGCACAGCAAGAAACTAAAGGCAGCAAGGTGTGAAATCAAGCGCTGCTCTTTCTCCTCCCCTCCACGTAGCCCTGTGTGTCACTCGACTGCCAGGGAAGCACAGAATGAAGAACAGAAGCCCAGTCAGTGCCACAGCAGATCAGTTCTGCTTCCTGTGGGGCTGGGAGGCTCTCGTTGCAAACTAAGAAACCAAAAGGCAGACACATCCATGGCCAGACTTTAGCCATTGACAGGTTGCCAGAAAATGCCAAAAAGTGTTCTTGATAGTGATAGTTCAGTGTGCAGGGCCACTCTCACATTTAAGGCACACTCCAACTTTCAAATCTTTCCTGAGCTCAGATTTACGAGGCACAGCCTTTTAGATGCATACAAAGCACAGAGCCTGAGGTCTGGCACCTATTGTGTATTATCGCCTTCATCAAAAGATTTAGGGACATTCTGGGGATGAAGAAAGTCTCCTAGCTCAGGAATGGTGTGTACTCTGAAAAGTGGCCTCATAACCTTTTCCCTTAACATACAAAAGCATCATTAGGTTGACATCCTGGCACCTGACAGCTTGACATGAATGGTGGAGAAAAAAGGGAGTTAAAACAGGCCCACAGCAGTGAAGGTTCTTATCCAAACGCTGACAGATCAGAGACTGGTTTTTACAGCTCCTGAGCAGGACGAGGAAACATGATCCTGCTCTGCAGCTTTGTGGGACAAGCTCTCTCCAGCTCCATGGGAAATCCCAGGGGCTGTCATTGCTCATGCAGCTGGTTGCCCACTCTGAGAGCTGCTGGCTGATTTCAGTGCCCAGGGGACTCACTGGAATGGATTCAATACCAACAGAAGATGCTCAACACCTTGTGTGCCCAGGCCTTTTATGATCTGTTGTCACAGATAATTTGCACAAGGTGAAGTATCTCCTCTCACACTAGCACTGCCCTCCTCCAGGACTTACCTGGTGGCCCTGCTGGGCCCCTCTCACCGGGTTGCCCCTTCTCTCCTTTTGGCCCTGGTGGTCCTGGAAGACCTGTTGGTCCAACTGGGCCTGGAGGACCAACCTGTCCTGGCAGCCCTGAAAACATTCAGAAAGGAAATTAGTCAGAGGTTAGGACACTGCTAAGGTCAGAGGGTCTTTAGCAACCTAGAAACCAGAGGAGAGAGAATCAAAGATGCAAGGGGGAGAAATGCAGCTTTGCACAGACAGGACAGACAGGGTGGTACTGGTAGCAAGAGCTGACCAGTACATAAAGCTAAACTGGGCCCACCCTGTCCCCTTCCCAAGGTCTGAACGGCTCTGGGCAGGGTCTGGCTGGTCCCTCAAACACTCCTTTGCCAGCTTTGTCCAGACACGTGTGTCAGCTCCACAGCAGTGCCAAAGTATCAAAATATACAAAATAGAATTGCTAAAGCAAATCAAACTCTGTCTCCCACTTGTTCTGGAAGATGTATACATACCACCCAGAGACTCTGCATCAAAGATGTTCCCCTGTTTTCATTCATCTAATGAGTGTACTGTGCTGTGCACAAGCACTTTTCATCCCAAACTGAAATTAATGCACCCACACTATTGAAGTGTGTTTTAATTTATATCAATGAAGAGGGTGCTGTGCAAACCCATCTATAAATATCAGTAACACAATAATTACAGCCCAGTAGGATGCTTCTTGGGCAAGTCCCCTCATACTCCCAAGGAAGCTTATGAAAGGTGCAGGTGGCATTTGTAATCCAAAAGTGACTATTTCTGATGACACTAAATAAAATCTTAATGTTGCTTCCTTTCGACTATCAAAATAACAACAAGCCTGGCCATTCTGCAGTATTTTTCAGAAAAGCACTGGGCATCTTTGGCTCACAAAGGTAATAGCTGCTTTGGAAAGAGACACTTAAATACTGTGCAAACATCAGGAAAGCCTTTAATACCTTAGACAGGTGGGTGAATTATTCTGTCTACTCAGATTAAGTGGTTAATGGTTACAATAAATGCATTAACTGTCAGAGCCAGGAGAGTAAGAGGTTCCTGGTTTCTGGGCTACCAAAGGGCTTTGAGTATTTGAAAGCAGTGGCAGGTGCAAGCTACAAAGCCAGAGGAAGATCTGCCTGAGTCCAAAGTTCAGTGCACTCAGATTTCAAGGTTTAATCTGTATATTACATACAAAAAAACCCAGCAGAGCGCAAGTGAAGGTTTGATAAACTCTTAAGCAGTGCCCTTCGCCTTCCCTGGTGTCAGAAGAGGTCCTGGGCCTTCCTGCTGCGTGTAGGGGGTGGAGAGGAATGGACAGGAATAGAGGAGGAGAAGGAAACAAGCTGGCCAACTGGCACCTCCACAGCCACTACCAAAAAGAACAAGGCTACATAATAAAGAACCAGGCTCACAGGATTTCCAGCTCCCACATTTGGATCCAGTTCCCGCTTCAGGTGTGGGACAGCCCACTTGGGGCACAAAACCATGTCCCCCCAGACATTCATCCAAACTCTCTGTATTTCTCAGAACAAAGCAATAATCCCCCAATATTAGACCTTCCTTGAAAGATTCTGCTTCCTCTCTTCTTTTTTGCCAGTCTGGAGAGATCTTCAAATTACATTTTTCTTACAAAAATAAAATCTATCCATGTCTAATCCATGGTAGAACTGGGCAGACTGAAGAAATAAGATTTTTCAAAGGCTTTGTGTAGGAGTGTGTGCCTGTACTTTTATTTTATTCAGTCATCAATAAAGGTCTGATTTAATTTGAATACTGAACAAGGAATTAAGGTAAGGTTTTAATTTGGATCAATTTGCTTACCCATAGGACACAAACTCAGACTTTTCTGTGAATAGAGGGGCTCCTTTAATGGATCTCACCTGACAGTGGATGCTGTACTCAGCAAGCTCAGGCAGATGATCAGGAGCCCATTTAAGAGAGCAAGAGCATTTGCTCACAGCATTGCAAACAGTTTCCCACCCCTACCAACCCCCCAACACACCTAAAACTTTATTGCAGCAAATTCTTTCAAGCACAGAGAGAAGAACAGCAGAAACATTGTTTTGCAAGCACAACACAGTGTGCTGCTGAGTGTGGGTCAAAACATTTCCTCGCTCGTATAAATCACCTTCAATCCTTCAGTTCAACCTTTATAACTCAATCCTGTGAACTTCTGCAGACCAAGAGCAATCATTTGTTGCCAGCACCCTCCATCACATTGCTGCAGTGAAGCTTGAAAGGAACTGGCACTTCCTTCCCTGAAGGTGGAAAGTGCTAAAGGAAAGACTAGGAGAAGCAGCACTGAGTAATGTGTCAGGCAAATGCTCATATTGGTGACAAATGGTGTTACCAGCACAAAAGAGACAAGTGCAAAAGGGAGAGGAAAGACGGAAGGATTCAGGGAAAAGGGGGGAGGGAAATGAATAGGCCAACTCTTCAGCTGGCATAAATCAGCTCTGCTGCAGTGGCATTGCTTTCAGAGAGCTGAAGCCCACAGCAAGTATTCATCCTCCAAAAATATGAAAGAAAAGCTATAGGGAAAAATAAAGGAAAAAGGTAAAGGGTGAGTATTCTCCTCCTGGAGACCAAATCAGACATGCAGAAACCTGGATTTTCTTGCTGGCCCTGTCACTAACCTGCAACACACCATCTGTTCCCTTTCCTCCTCCAAGGTCTTTGTAGAGGAGCAGGTGATTCTGTTTGTGTGGAGCTGAGCAAAATGATGGGCTGTTACCAGCAGGTCTCGGTGCCCCTGGCAGGCAGTACAATAAGATAATGACTGTGCTTTCTGCCTTCACCCAGCACATGCCCTGCTCGCTCTGGCCGCGTGTCCTCCAGTGAACTGCCTCTCCACCCGCCAGCGCTCTCCATCCTGTGTGTGCTGGGGGAACTGAATGGCTCAAAGAGGGTAAGGCTGGCATTTCACCTCACCAACCAGAGCAGCCCATGATCAGGTGAAACCCAAAGAAGAAACCCTGCCTCTGTGTGTCTGTGAGGCTCCAAATCATTGAGGACTCCTGGCCACAGGACCCTTCTGCTTTTTGGGACAGACCACGTGCAGGACTGGGCATAGAACATTTTGAGCATTGAAAGAGGAACTAGTAGAAATCATTGACTTACCCTGTGGTATTAGCTGCTCCTCTGCACCTCTGTGTCCTTTAGGCTCTAAGAAAGAGGGTCAGGGTAAAGAAAAAACAAAAACAAAACAAACCCAACACAATTAAAAAAAAACATATGAAAAATTAGGTCTCTTGCTGCCAACTGGCTCAGACAGAGTATATGTATTTTCTTAATACTCAGTAAAATGTATCCTGTTGATTAACAAGCTGATCAGAAAGGCCAGCGGTGCAGCTGTCTCAACAGCTCTGATTGCTTTTAAATGATTGTCTATTCTCAGCCTTGTCACTCACAGAAGAAATAACTACCCTAATAAACAGTAGCAAGTTTTCCTGGACCTCAGCCTGGAGAGGCGTAAGCAAACCCAGAGCTCTAAGGTCATCCAGAAACACTCCCACCATTCAAAGCATCTAGTCCGTATCAACCATCTTTGTGTTAGGCACCAACATCTTGCCCCTAGTCCATCCAGTTGAGAAATTTCGTGGCACATCAGCCAGGATTTGGATTTGCTTTGGCTGAAAGACTAGAAGCAGGGCTAAGTAGGCACAAAAAACTCTGGGGAAGGGGATGGGAGAGACAGAGACTTAGCTTTCCAACAACCCCAAATCACACGGGACACTCAGGTTTGACTTCTACCTACTCTAATATCACACTTGTTGAAAGATCTCCTGAGGTCTGGAATCTCAGTAAGTGAACCTGGGGCCAGCTTTGAGCAACAAGTCACAGTACAGTGTTGAAATAACACAAAATAGGCAGTCCCTCACCATTCCAAACTAACTGTATGGAATTCCCTACATTTCACCAAAATCCACAGTGGGTTTTTTTTGGCTGGCTTTGAATTGTAGATACAAACTGGTGTGGGGAGGGGAGGAAGCCATATGTGGACCCAGATCCATGAAACATCCCCTCGGCTCCTTAGCAAAGCAAGCATTTGAAGCCTACAGGGCTCAGGTAGGGGCTTCAGCAGGCAATCACATGTCAATAAACAACTTAACTGATTACTTCTAATTGCTGAAAGACGCTGTTCTGACCTGAAACAGACCAGTGCATTCCTGATTCCCAGTTACTACGCCAGAGTCGTTACTCCACACTGGGTTAAACAAATTAAGGTTAGAAAAATAAAGGGTAACAGTGAGCAAGGACTACACCTCGTAGCATGAGCCGGCTGTGTGCACAGCCTGGAACCCTGGCTGACAAGACAGACTCACATACAGCTCAACAACAACATCACCTCCTGTTTTTTGGAGGTGATCACTAGCTACCTCCTGGGTTTACTGCAGGAGTGGAGGATGCTGCTACTGGACCCTGGAGTCAGCCTGATGCAAGTGCTACAGGAGTTCTGCTCTGTTTTGCAGCACAGCCAAAGGCCTGGGAGGGTGGCATTGGCTGCTCCTTGCTGAGCGAGAGGAGACTGTCATGTGTACGGAGCCACCGAGAGGAGAGGACTTGGAGTGGAAGGGACAGAGTCGTCAGTAACTTGCTGGGTTGACTTTAGAACACTTAAGTGTAGGTGCAGAGATACTGCAACAGCAAAAAATAAATGACACAGAGAAGGCAGAACGAGCATATAATGGACACTGAGGGAAACTGCTTTAATTCAGTTCCTGGCAGCCGTCACTGTGGTTCTGAAAATACTTTGCAGAACATATTGTCAGTGAACCTCCCTCCATGTTGTGGCATCCTGTCAAATTATAAACATGGACGACATCTGGTCTATGTTGGTTGCTCCAAGTCTGCTGCAGTCATGAAGGGCTGCCATAATAAACTGCTCGGACCATAAAAACAAAAAAAAACAAAAAAAAAAAAAAAAGGAAAAAAAAAGAAAAAATGGAAAAAAAAAAAGAAGAAAAAACCAAAGTAGGCCCTATGGAGGATAAAGAACTAAAGAAGTGCTCTGGGAGCAAGCAAAGTAACTGACAGACAGAGCTTTGGAAGCAGAGAGCGTGGATCTTGAAATGAGAATGCCAAGGTCAGGGAAATTCAATGCATGGGGATCTGTCTAGCCAAGTGGGCTCAGAGGGAGATTTTCTAATAAGTGTATTTTTTTTTCATGCCACAAGAGGGATCATAAAACAGCCCATTGAGTTTATGGTAAATATAAAAAATATAATGCAAACTGCAACTGATGTTGCTATTCATGGGAAAGTTTTTCCTCCTAATAAAACCGACAATTACCCCCACACTCCAGTCCTCTACCTCCCCACACTGCTCCCAGACAGGGAAACACTGCATTTGGTTCTCAGTAGGTGAGTATGAATTGTCCCCCTGTGATCCCAATGGCTCTCTGGAGTTTCCTCAGGAATGTTTCAATCTATCCAGGCCGCAAAAGCCACAGTCTTTGGCCTTAAAACACTGAAATGCACAGGCAGGCATAGTGGCCCTGCTGAGGTTAATAGAAATCTAACTTCCCTGAGACCAGAACTCAGCTCTCAGTAGATACTTGTGCCAACAGAAACTGATGTGAGCAACGGGCCATTAAGGATGGCAAAATTGAGCTCAATATGATAGTTTCTGAGCTTAGCTGCTTTCTTCCAGAAACATGCCTGCTCTGCGCTGGCTTAACTCAAGGAGGGGCAGAGACACAGAGAGAAAAACACCAAGTCCCTCTCTTTGGGAAGGGGTGACCCTCATCCCTGCATGGGCAGCAGGAAGGGGTCTTGAGGAAGTCACACCCAGCTTGCTGCAGCTAAAAGGATAGTTAGAGATGGGGTCAGAGAAGAATTAATTCCTTCCTCATCCATGAGTCTGCATGTGTGTTGGTGCGTGACCATCCCTGCATTCACAGCTTGGCAGAGGGGGAAGGACAAGAGACAACACTGAATTTTTAGACTGAACTGTCCCTGGTTTGGAGGAATCCTGTCTCTAGAGCTAAATAATGCCAATTCTGGCCCTAAAAGAGAGGCTGAAAGCTCTCAAAATGCCTCTCCACAGGGTGGTTTCCCTGCTGAGCACAATCCTGTCTTGCAGTGAGCATTTGCAGAAACCAAAGCTATGGTGTCCCTGCTGAGGGCGCAAAGCAAAGAGCAGACACAGAGCCACTCACACCAGCAATGCTGCCTGCCCCGCGCTCATCACACAGCACCATGCGGCCCCAGTGCGGCCACTCTCATCCACAGCTCCCAGCTGGATCAAACACACAGCAGCAAACGTGCCCACAAAACAAGAGAGGAATTGCCCATCTGAACGTCTTGACCCTCTTCTCCTTTACAGAGCAGAGGGAAGGAGCTGCCAGTGTTTCCCTCCAACCCCTGTCCCCTGCAGCTTCCAGTACTACAGCAGACTGACGTGGCCTCCTTTTTAGTTATCCTCCAAAGGATAATTACAAGGGATTCCTACAAGGAATCATGTACGTTGGGTGAGTGATTTGGGGGAGAGCAGGTTAGACTTACCAACAGATCCCACTGTTTTTCTCAGGACAGTTCCAGGATTTAGCAGGGGAAAGGCATCTGGTAGCAAATCATCGTACCATGTGGCTGTTGTCCCAGTGATTGGCAGGTTGTTTTCCAATGGTGGGCTTCGCTCCGCAGCCTCGAGCAGAAGGATCTAGAGAGGGGACATGGGGAAGGCACACAAAGTCAGCAGGATGGTTTCACACCTGGTCTCAATCCTGAAGAGGTCTTGAAACTCCTCTCCTTGCCAGCAGGAGCTGTGTGAATAACTCTGTGTCACAGACTACAGGGTTTTGGTGTTAAAGCTCTACTGGTTTTCTGGGAAGTGGCAGTAATTAGTGTAGGAAGCTGCTGTTAAGTTGCAAGAGTCCTGCTCATGCCTTCCTTGGAGAGGGCTTCACTGCTTCCAGAGAGAGTCAGCCTCACGTGGGATTGTCTCCCTGGTGAGAAACATGAAGCCAGGGACGAGAGCTGGTGTTAGGGGATGCAGCATGTCACTGCTAGGTTACGCGTTCAAATCCAGAGTCGTTAGGTCAGAAATTACTGAGAGCTGGTACAAGGTGAAGGGCTGTGCCCTGGATGCCCAGGGGAGCAAACCAAGGACAAGTACTGGTTGTAAGTCAAAGCACAAATGCTGACCAAATTAAAGATGATGGAGAATATGAAGTTTTTAAAGAGCTGAGGTGCTTCAGCTTTGGAGCGAATAAAAAAAGGCAGGCAATTTCCTCAAAGAGCTCTACTTATAAGTAATAGGATATTATTAAAACTCACAACTGTGTCTATACCTTGTAAACAGTTTACCTTCAAATAAATCCACATCCCAGTGTGTGTCCCTGAGCTATTTGGGCCAGTTACAACCTAAGCTCATTGGCAAATGACTCCGTTTTCCCTGTATAATTTGGACTGCTGTTCACCAAGCTGCACTCCCCTGGCCACCAGTGGCCCATATGAAACTGGAAGTTAAGTCTTTAGCATGGCTGCAAAACCCTGGATGCCCACATGAAGTAGAAGGATGGAGGACCCAGGTGGACTCTGCTTACCAACAAACTCCATTAAAGTGAAGCCCAGAGGAATATTCATTGCATTTTATAATTATTTTTTTATTAAATTTTTGGAAATGAATATTTAAAACCAAAATAAATTTCTATTTTAATCTAAATGTTTCATCCTCCTGCCTTCCCAGCCACTAAGCAAAGGTGGCATAACAACGTAGTCTACAGATTTCTTTTGAAAAAGTCTAACTACCCCTTCAATTACAAACCCAATGGGAGCACTGACCTGGAGCACCAAGCCCACATGCTCTGTCACAAATGGATTTTACCCCAAATGCTAAACAGAGGCCAAGGGCAGCACCCACCTTCCCAGTGGGGCAGCCAAAGGGTGGGCAGCCCCTGCATTCGCCGTGCCTGAGGTACAGCAGCAGCCCTGCCACTCACCTGGCAGCTGGATGGATCCCTGGCAAAGCTGCTGGCCCAGGATGGACGCAGGATGTCCAGCAGGCAGGAGCAGGGCCGAGATTTCCAGAACAAGAGTTTTGATCCAAGCATCCAGCATCTCCAAAGTCTGCTTTCTAAGCACAAAGCTACATGGGAGAATTGTTTGAGGAATGCAACGCTGCGGTTTGTTACAGTCTCTTCCTGTTTGGAAACCACCTAAGCAAACACTGATTTAGGGATAAGGGAAATAAAAGAGAATATGGCTCAAACTTTCCACTAAATCCCTAGAAGTTTCAGCTTTTACATGCCGTGTTGTCTTTACATAATGAAGTCACACCGCAATTATAAATGAGAGTGACTTGGCTCCGCTTGTTTGTTTTTAACTTGCAATTATTACAAGGTTTATCACTTATTTATTAGAAGGCATGGTGAGAGCCAGGATTGCAGCCACGCCAGAAATGATGAACTTCCTGCAGAATGCACTGGCCTGACAGGGGTGAATCAGAAACTAATTAAACTGGGAGCTAGGTTAAGTGCAGGGGAACTGAACCTCAGCTCTTGGAAACGAGCAAAATTCTTCCTTTATTTGCAAGGATCTTGATTCGCAGATCCAGAGTCTTGCTTTCTGAGTAATAAGAAAGCAAAAAAGGAATCAGGTCCCAAAGTTTTTATTCAAGAGGCTTCTCTGATGCCAGGCAAGGAAGGTTCAGTCTGTCTCATGCACTTCTGTGCTTTTACCCAATGATTTGTCAGACTTTCAAGGAAATACGCTATCAGTTTAACAAATGCTTAAACAAGTGCTCTATCATAATCGTGCTTAATTCCCACTGACATGGGACACAAGTGCACATTTGGTTTAGTAGAAGACAGGTACGGTGGTTGGACTCAATGATCTCAAAGGTCTTTTCCAACCAAAAGATTCTATGATTGAAGACCTTTTCTGAATCACTTTACACTATTCTATCACCCTCTTCCTTCCCCAGCAAAACACCTGCCCGTTGCCAGAGCGTACTCAGCAAGAGAGGCAAAACTAATCCCCGAGGTGGGAAATCAGAGGGGCTACAGCTAGGGCAGGGTTAGGATGCTCCTGCTGTGAGAAAGGGACCAACAAGAGTTGTCTTGGATAGTATTTCACCACAGCCCAGCAGAGCAGTGGGAAAAGGTAATATTGAACCAATAGCAGCAATGGTCAGATACCAGCAAACCGCAGGGAGCCGGGGCCCTCCCGGGCGGGGTGAGCAGCACTAGCACAGCTCTGCCCAAGGTTGCATCTGGAATGGAACAGCTCCAAATCATTTTTATGGGTGATAATAAAAATGTGTTACCACATAATCAACACAAAACAGTGGCAACAGTATCCTTTTCATTAAAACAACATGTTTTAAATGAGCGCTCTGCTGATAAACACTGTAAAAGATTTAAAGGCATGCCCAGAATAATCCAGTGTGCTTTTCCATAAATTGACTATATACACTTAGCAGTCATTAAGGCTCAAACCATAGTAACAAGTTTATTTTCCCTGGGTACAGAATGATAGAGGTCAGGAAGTCTCTAGATATGAAATTGCTGAGAAATTCTAGTTTTTATGATTAGGACTGAAGAAGTGCCCAAAAGAAATAAAGTCGAAAGAAGGGAGCTCTCATATCCGTGAGATCCACAGAGCCAAACTAAAGAAGGAAAAGCACGAGGGATTTAGTCACACTCAAAATCTCACACTCTACACACTTCTTTCAATGAGGAGTGTCCTCTCATAAGCTAGCACAGCACAGAGCACAAACAGGGTCCTTATGCATCATTGTTATAGCTCTGGAGCCATTCATCTATTTTCTGTCACGTTCTGTTTTTCTTAAGGCTGCCATTGCTGTAGTCAAGGGACTCCAGAAGAATTCCCACTTTCATTAAACAAAAAAAGAAAGTTTCTAACCCTCTGAGTAAACTGTTGGAAAATGACACCACAGAGCCTGACAGCCAGAAAGCAAATTAACAAAATGTGCAATGTATTAAAGTCTTGGTATTTTCTAGTCAATAAGGTTGAAGTAGAGAAGGGTTGAGACACCAACTGAAGAAGAACACGAGGCTTTGACTGGAAACACTCATGGCAAGCAGCGCCACTCCTGTTACTATTACCATGACCACTTCCACTGCAAAAGTTCTTACAGAAAAAACTGGAGAATTAGAGGCAGAAAAGATCCTAATGCCGCCATAGAAATGAAATCTGTCTTGATGCCATGGGTAATGTTAGTCACCTAACCAACCAGAGCAGGTACAGAGAACGGGCTGAAGGGCAGCACTTGTGGTTGCTGCCTGTGTGGTGTCAGGAGGGCAGATCCCTGCAGAAGACATGCAGACCTCTCCTCCCCAGTTTGCACTGCATTGCACAAGGTAAAGGATGACCTCAACTCTGCAAAACACTTGGGCTTCTGTCTTTTTGCAAGTATGGAAGCAAAAAGTCAAATCTGAGCCTAAATGGACATACTGAACTGGAGTCTCTGGCAAGAAAGGTCCCACTGGCATGAGGGCTTGTCTCCGGTTTCCAGACCCCACCTCTCAGCCACAGCTGAACTGGGTCAGAAAGCTGGAAAGAGCTGAAATGGGGCCGTGGCTTCTGCCAACACCGCAGCGGGAGACAGGCCCGACATAGGAGACGGCATGTGAACACAGAGGGGATGCAGGAGGGATGACGCACTGCCCTGGCCGAGGAGCTCGCAGGCCAGCGCCAGCGGCAGAGGTTACTGCCTGCAAAACTTACCCCTGGGCCTTCCGAGTCCCGCCGAGCCGCCGGGCTCACCTCTGTACAGGATCTGGCGCTTGCTCTTCTCCCGTGGCTCACAGCCTGGCTCTTCAATGTGGGGCCCGCTCACACGTAGGGCCCTCAGCAGGGACATTAGTGTTACGTGCCTGAAGCTCAGTCCCAGCTTACTCAACCCACCTCCCCCTTTTCTATTTGCCAGCATAAACTTTCTAAACTTCAGACACATACCACATCTCTTGCGTCAGATCAAAAGCCCAGGCCAGGGACAATGGAAACAGGAGGAAGGTTTTCATCTTCTTGAGATGTTCAGTATCAGAGGACTTTTTTTGGCTTGTAGTGGCTTTCAAGAACCCTATTTTGGTTGTTCCCACACATCAAAAGAAGATTTCACAAACGCAGCCTCCTCCCATCATCCGTCCTCAGCTCGCATTCCTGATGTCCTGTAACTAGTAGGTGCTAGAAACAAGGAAAGAGCAGCCAGGCTTCCAAAGATTTCAAAACTGATACAACAGGGCTTTCTCTGGATAAAAACCCATGGAAATGCAGAGGGAATCATTTGACATAATCCAGATGGATATTATTAATTAATAAACAGGGGATATTTGGTCTCCTGAAGCACTGGCAGAATTAACTCCCTTCCATCCCTCTCTAAAGAGGAGGAGAAGAAACTGCATGAACCCAGCTCATCAACTAAAAATTCCAGGGCAAAATAAGATTCCCTTGATCTTGTAAAGACACAAGCTGATTAATAACAGTAATTGCATAACTTGTTGGACGTATCTTTCTTTATAGCAAATGATTTGGCAAAATATAAGAGTTTTTTAATAATTCATCAAGACACAGAGCTAAACAGGGAGTTTTACAAAATCTGATGGAGAGCGGTATCTCTCTTGTAGCAATATGAAACCTGTGAACACAAGGCTCCAACGCAGATGCAATTGCTTGGTTTCAAAAGCCAAAAGACATTCAGTAAGTGTCCACCAAAATCTGATGAACTGGGTGCCCAGAGAGAACCTGGGTGACTTCATCCTTATTACATCTTAGAAGCTTTGGCCAAAGGGGACAAGATAATTAGTGCATGGAGGAGTTTTCATTATATTGATAAATCATGTGGGGAGCAATAGCTGATGTCATTGCAGCGACCCAACGTAGACCAAAAGGTAAGGTTTATGTCATCAGCTATTGCATGGAAGACAGAAATGTGGGCCAAAGGCTTCTGCCAATCCACAGGTAGTTCATAGAATCATAGAATGGTTTGGAT